CATATGGTCGAACATAACCCCAGAAGTCACTATCTCAAGTATGCTTCGCCGAGATAGGTACTTGAACGTCGTAAACATGGCCCAACGAAGGCTCAAAAGGGACTGGAATAGAGTGAAGATATTGCCTAACATAGCCCTAGAAGTCACTGAAATATTGGCCCCTTCCATGCGGTGCGGGCGGTTACCGTCGCGAAGCGACGTGAATAAATTCTCAGTTTAGTTCTACTCAGAAGTCTTCTGCAGCTTTGTGATCTTGGTCTTCTGCAGCTCAGTCTACATTAGTTGACCACACCCGAAAAATCCTTCCCACTATGCTGCACCTTCCCACCAGCTTCAAGGGGTGAGTGGTATCCTTCAGTGCGTCGAAGTCGTTTGTCCAGTTTTCTCGCCTGGAACGAGGGCAGCGAGGTTCCACCACCAACGCTCGCAATCTGCGAACGGCGCGGATCGTGGGGCGAACGGAAAGGACGAAGAAGACATCACCATCAGCAACCAAAAGCCCTCCTAACTTACTCAGCGATGTTTTCAGGGCCAAGAATTGGAAGCGGTTCAAAACACTCACAAAATATCACAAAGTTCTCTAGTTCATCTCCACCGATGTGAAGCGGTTCCGTTTCGATTTCGTGCCATTCCAATCGACCGATGACTTGAGGCCAATCAACTGAATGATCCGACCGATCCGAGCTATCCAAGCACTTGGCATTTGGCAGATCGAGATCCGATGGATCGGTCGGGGCTCCCAACGATGATGGAGTTCAAGGTGATGCTGGCGTACAAGTCTTGATCAAAAAGGCCGGTGGAGCCTGGACCAACTGCAGCTGCAGTGAGAATTCATTGCCAGACTTCAAGAGCGGAGACTTTATGTGGGGACCACAGTCAGAAAACCTCCACTGGACATGAACCTTGAAGTCATACTGAGTCATACCATGTCATACCCAATTTCCCGCTGTGTGTCTGTGTGCATGCGCCCGCACATGAACAGGAAACTGAGCACATCATCCGGAAAAAGGAGTGAACAACATGAAGCATCCCATTCTGTCGTTAAGTCTCATGTCTTTTATATTGTTTTCCCAACCATTCCCAACCCACCCATTCCACTTTTCTTAATGACCGCCAAAAGAATTGGGCAAACGAATCCGTAAACATCCGCTGGAATCTGGCAGCTGGCAGCAATTCATGGTTCCACTCCGTTCCGCTCAGCTCTCTATATATCTCCATTTCTTTGCGATTTTGTTCAATGCAGCTACTGAGACTCACACCGCCCGAAGGATTCACCAGGTCAAAGTGCGTGACTGCTGCTTGTGATTCAGCCTCGCCGAAGGATTCACCGCTGTGTCGCTTCGCGGTGCGATGTCGTGGCGAGGTATCACCCAAGATGTGTGACCAGGGGAGGGAGCCTGCGGTCTGCGGTGACCATCATTGGAACGAAAGCATATTGAACACGTCTAAGACATACATACTATAGTAACATGCACCGGAGCTAATATTGTTCGGATGGTTCTTGTTGGCCTTGGCTGATGTGATGTGTCTTCTTCAGCTGATCCTTGACGTCAAAACGACACCGAGGTGAGAAGAAAACCACTTCTTCGATCGAATCACTGCGACCCCCCCGCGGTGCAAGCTGGATCATTTCCAGTCGCGATGTAGAAAGCTGCCAGGCCGTTGGCCACGTGTGCCGTGCCTGGGACGGTCTGCTGCCACCGTCAAGTCGCTCTTCTGTGAGACTTCCAGACGGCCAAGGAGCATAATAGTTGTTCTCACATCTCGAACCACACCAAAGCATGTGGAAACCCCCAAGCAACATCTGATGTTTTTCTTGCACTGTTATTATGTTTCCCTTGAGCTTACCATCTTGTTTCACACCAAGCAGCAGCTGATTCCACCGATGAACTCGTTGGTTCGGTTGTGCATCTTCTGGAAACGTTGCAGCCTCGAGAGCGGAGCGTCGCGGACCCGCGTCCCGCGTCGCTCCGCGTCCTGCGACCCGCGACCGCCGCAATCTCTCCATCGGTCGACATGGGATGCCCGGCCTGTAGGGCGTGGTACGAAGGATGGATTGACACACTTCCTGCGACGTGGGGGGACTGGAAGTCTGGAAGAATCGCTGGTGTCTGGAAGGCTGTTTCGGGTGGTGTTTTTTTCGGTTCTTAAGCACTGGACAGAAAAAAGAGATTGCACATGGCACATGGGATATGATTGGTTGTTTACTGGTTTCAAGCAAGTCAAATGAGCTGTTGCATACTCTTGGAAAGCACAATTCACAATCTGTCCTTGGGGATAATGCAATCTGCAACCAGCGAGTGTCCCTTTCCCAGAAGTGTGTGCATGACAGACACCCGCCTAGAGCAAACACACAGCAATGCACAACATGTTCAATGTCAAAACATCGGATTCTTAGCCACAGCCATCTACAGGACTCTTTGCGTCTTAGCCACTTGCCAGCGTTAAATCCG